TCCTTTGGAGTCTGGTTTTTTGTTTGTTTGTTTGTTTGTTTGTTTGTTTTTAATGAATCCAAGAACCCCGGAAGGGGACCCCATTTCTTCAGTAACATGGCAGCTCTAATGGGATGCCACCAATGTATGGAAACATCTTCTGGATCTCATTCCCCTGACCCCCCAAAATAAAAACACAAATATAGAAAAGAGAAAAAGAGGAAGTAGGGGCTAATTCACCCCTTATCCCCCCACAAACACATCATACCACAAATCACATACATACCGCACACATTTAATGTTTCCTTAATCGCAGCCATGTTTCTAGCATGAGGCTGTTCCTGGGATCTTCAGTTGTTGCTTTTAATGCATTTTGTTTGTTTGTTTTCTCTTTTTCATGTTTTTCTTCACTTTTCTGGCATCTGCTAAATGATGGCTCTCCTGAACTTTTTTATTGTTTTTATTTTATTCATTCATTCATTGTGTGTGTGTTCATGTGAGCGAGCAACCATGGCACACGTGTGGCAGTCAGAGGACAACTTGCAGAAGCTGGACCACACCTTCCCCCACACAGGACCTGGGAACTGAACTTGGGTCATCTGGCTTGGTAGCGAGTGCCTTTACCTGCTGAGCCATCCCACTACCGGCTCTCTGTAAGTCAGTGTACACGAAAATCATTACAAGATTTTCATCAAATACTTATATATTACAGGGCATTATGCGTCCCTCTTATTTGACCCCTACTTTTCTCATCCTTTCTCTCCACAAATAGTTCCCCTTCAGCCTTCTTGTCCTGTGTGTGTGTGTGTGTGTGTGTGTGTGTGTGTGTGTGTGTGTTGTTTAAATCTGAATTCTACATGGAAGAAAACAAGATACCTTGTCTTCACCCTCCTCTATCCTCTCTCTGTCTCTCTCTCATAGTGCACATGCATATCACATGTATATACTTTATGCACATTTACATATTTACATATATGTATATTTATGTATATAGTTTACATATATTTAAATTCCGATGCCACAGATGAAGAAACGTCATTTGTCTCTCTGAGTCTGGATGATTTCACTCAACATGGTGCTCTCCAGTTCCAATTGTTATCCTTCAGACATTGTCAATTCACTCTTCTTTACGCTAAATAAGACCATTCTCTACACCATGAGTTCTGTGTCCACTGCTCTGTTGTAGCATTCAGGCCGGCTGCCTGTCTTGGTTATTGTGAATAGTGCACTAATAAGCATGAATTGTGGATCTCTGTGCCGGGCCGACCTGGGTTCCGTTAGGTTTATTCCCAGGAGCAGTGTGGCTGGGTCATCTGGTTATTCTGGTTTTAGTTTTTGAGGACCCTCCAAGCTGATTTCCGTAGCAGCTGAACCACTTTGCATTTTTAATCATTTGTAAATGATTCCTCTCTACCTACATCCTTTATGCTTGACAGCATATCCTGCCATTTGTCATCTAGTTGCTACTGCTGCTGCCTCCTCTTCCTGATCTTCCTCCCTCCTCCTCCTCCTCTTCTTCTTTTTTTTTCTTTTTTCATTTACTTATTTAATCACTTTACAGCCACAGCCTAGCCCACGCCCTCGCCCTCATCTCCTTCCAGTCCTGCCCCCACACCTCTCCTCTCCCATCCCCCCTCCTCCCAAGGGCCACCAACCCACCCTGGCGCTTCAAGTCACAGCAGGATTAAGCACATCCTCTCCCACCTGGGAGTGACCCACAGCCCGGCTAGGGGGACTCAGCAGCAGGCAGCTGAGTAAAGATGAGTAAAGATGAGTCAGACACAGCCCCTACTCCTATTGTTAGAGGATCCACATGAAGACCAAACTGCACATCTGCTACATATGTGTAGGGGGTCTAGGTTCAGCCCACGAAAACTCTTTGGTTGGTGGTTCAGTCTCTGTGAGCCTTCATGGGCCCAGGCTAGTTTACTATGTTGGTCTTCTTGTGGTGTCCTTGACCTTTCAGGATCCCTCTATTCTTCCTCACTCTTCCATTGCACTCACCAGGCTCAGCCCGTTGCTTGACTGTGGGTATCTGCGTCTGTCTCCATCAGCTGCTGGATGAGGCCTCCCAGAAGACAGCTATGCTAGACTCCTGTCTGCAAGCATAGCAGAGTACCATTAACAGTGACAGTGGTCAGCCCTCTCCTGAGGGGGTCTCAAGTTGTTCCAGCCCCTGGTTTGCCATTTCCTCCATCTCTGTTTCATCTTTACGCCAACACTTCTTGTAGACAAGACACATTTGGGGTCAAAAGTTTTATGGTTGGTGTCCTCTTTCCCCACTGGGAGTCGCACCTGGATATAAGAGGTGCGGACTTAACACCTGTTGCTTGGAGTCTCAACTAGGGAGACTCCCAGGAGCCTCCCCTGTCCCAGAGATGCCCCACCACCGACTCCTATTCTCTTTCCCGGTCCTTCCCCTCACTGCCATCCTCTCTCTGCCCACCTGACCCATTATCCTCTCCACCCCTCCTCCTACACAGTTTCCTCCTCCATCTACTTCGAATGTCTGTTGTATTACTTGTTCTGAGTGAGATTCAAGCATTTTCCCTTGGGCACTCCTTGGCTTCTTTGGGTCTATGGGCTGTTTCGTGGTTATCCTGAGCTTTATGGCTAATATCCCCTTAAAAGTGAGTATATACTAAACATGTCTTTCTGAGTCTGGGTTACCTCATTCAGGATGATCTTCTCTAGTTCCATCCATTTGCCTGCAAATTTCATGATTTCTTTGTTTGTAATAGCTGAGTAGTATTCCATTATGTAAATGTGCCACAATTTCTGTATCCATTCTTCAGTTGAGGGGCATCTAGGTTGTTTCCAGTTTCTGGCTATTATGAATAAAGCTACTATGTACAGTGTAAGTGTCCTTGTTGTATGGTGGAGCATCTTTTGGGTATATACCCAGGAGCGGTAAAGATGGGTCATGAGGTACGTCTATTCCCAACTTTCTGAGAAACCTCCAGATTGATTTCCACAGTGACTGTACAAGTGTGCACTCCTACTAGCAATGGAGGAGAGCTCTCCTTGCTCCACATCCTCAATAGCAAGTGCCGTCACTTGAGTTTTTTATCTTAGCCATTCTGCTGGATGTAAGATGGAATCTCAGGGTCATTTTGATTTGTATTTCCCAGACGACTAAGGGCATTGAACATTTCTAAGTGCTTATTGGTCATTTGAGATTTCTCTGTTGCGAATTCTCTGTTTGGCTCTGTAACCCATTTTTTAGATTGGGTTATTTAGTTAGTTGTTTTATCATTTCTTGAGTTCTTTATATATTTTGGATATTAGCCCTCTGTCAGATGTAGGATTGATGAAGATTTTTCCCCAATCTGTAGGCTGTCATTTTGTTCTGATGACAGTGTCCTTTGCCTTACAGAAGCTTTTCAGTTTTTAAGAGGTCCCATTTATTAATTGTTGATCTTAGAGCCTGAGCTGTTGGTGTTCTGTTCAGGAAGTTGTCTTCTGTGCCAATGAGCTCAAGGCTATTCCCCACTTTTTCTTTTAATAGATTTAATGTATCTGGTTTTATGTTGAGGTCTTTGATCTACTTGGACTTGAGTTTTGTGCAGAGTGATAAATATAGATCTCTTTGCATTTTTCTACTTGTAGACATCCAGTTAGACCAGCACCATTTGTTGAAGATGCTGTCTTTTTTCCATTGTATAGGTTTTGGCTTCCTTGTCAAAAATCAAGTGTTAACAGATGTGTGGGTTTATTTCTAAGTCTTTGGTTCCATTCTCCTCCTCTTCTTCCTTGTTTGTAGCTTCTTTGGGTAGTTTTATTTGGTAGAGAGAAGCATTTGAGGCATTGTTTGTTTGTTTTTTTGTTTTTTTTTTTTTTTTTTAGTTTGGATTTTTTTAATTATTATTTTGCTTTTTGAGATAAGATTTCATGTAGCTCAGGCTGGCCTAGAACTCCTGATCCTTCTGCCTCCACATCCCAAGTGCTGGGGCTTACAGGACAGTGCCACAGTGCTCAGCCTTCATTTATTTTCTTGTTAACTCCCTGATCATCTTCTCCTGTTTTCTTCCCCTTTTCTTGACTTTCTGGTATACTCCCAGCAATGTTATCTTTAAACCTTTCTAAGGATATTATTATAACAAATATTATCTGTTAATATATTTTTTAAAGATATTTTATTTTTTAATTACGCGTATGTGCATAGGACTTGGGGTACCCCAGAATCCAGAGGTTTTGAATCCCCTGAACCTGTAATTACAGAGAACTGTGAGCTGTGAGAGTTGGGTGCTGGGAACTAAAGTTGGGTCCTTTGCAAGGGTATCACACACTCTTCATGCCTGGGCCACCTCTCCGGCACCCAATACTTCTTTCTTTCTCTTTCTTTCTTTCTTTCTTTCTTTCTTTCTTTCTTTCTTTCTTTCTTTCTTTCTTTCTTCACCCAATACTTCTTTCTTTTTCTCTTTCTTTCTTTCTTTCTTTCTTTCTTTCTTTCTTTCTTTCTTTCTTTCTTTCTTTCTTTTGCACCCAATACTTCTTTCTCTTTCTTTCTTTCTTTCTTTCTTTCTTTCCTTTCTTTTTTTCTTTTCTTTTCTTTTCTTTTCTTTTCTTTTCTCTCTTTCTTTCATCTCCAAAAGCTTTTTCTATCTCTTGGTGTTCCATTTTTGTAATGTTTTCAGTATTCTGGGGTACAATAGCTTCTCAGTCTCCCATAGAATGCCAATTATAAGATCTGTTTGTTTGTTTGTTTGGTGGTGGTGCTCTTGCTTTTAGAAGCATGTCATGGAGCCCAGGCTGGCCTTCAACTTGTTATGTAGCTGAGGAGAACCTTGAACTCCTGTTTTTTTCCCCACTTCCTAAGTGCTACAATTACAGGCTTGTGCTATCCCTTCATACAAGCTTTTCTAGTAACAGCTTTTGATGTTCTACATTTATGAAAATCTCAGAATCTACTTCTCATAGGGCTTCATATGGAGTCGGTCTCACACTGTCACGCCCACCCCAGGTGAGGTTCTTGCTGCTTTGAGCTCCTTTCATTCTTACTGTGTCTGCTGCATCTCCAGGAAGAAGTCTCCTATGAGGAAAGAGCCTGTGAAGGGGGAAAGTTTGCCACTGTGGAGGTGACAGACAAGCCCGTGGATGAGGCTCTCCGAGAAGCAATGCCCAAGATCATGAAGTACGTGGGCGGCACCAATGACAAAGGTGAGCACGCCAGCGAGACAGGCTCTGTGTGCGCCCCTGTCATCCTCGAGGACATCAGGGAGTGGCTGCAGGCTCCTGTAACTGCCTGTTCCAGTGTCCTACACAAGTGGCGGCTGGAAGCTCTAACAGACCGCTCTGGTGTCAGCTCAGCCTGCCTCTCCTCAGTTCACGGTTCTCTCCAAGTGCAGAGCCAGGCGCTCGCTCTTTTGGTTTTGGTTTTGTTTTCTAACAGTACAGTGACCATTGGGTGAATGAGCTGAAAACACCCACAGTAAGCTGAGTTCCCTGCAAAAGGCATGGTTGTCGTCCGACTGGAGACCGCCAGCACCAGGCTGGAAATCTGTCAGCCTGCAGATTGTTGATTGCAGAGGCTCAGTGGGCTGTAGCAGGCTCAGACTCGGTTCCGGCGACTGTGAACTCTCAAGGCATCCCTGGCTTTAGAACATGGCAGCCCATGCTGGCTACCTTCATTTCTGGTGAATATAAATGGCTGGACTGAAGTTTCATGTAGGGCACACCATGGGAGCGTAAATTGTAATTTTTGGCTTTTGTTTTGTTTTGTTTTCATGCTACAAAGCAGTTCAGGACAACAAAGTCTATACAGGCTGTCTCAAAAAAAAATAACAACAATAATAATAATAATTTATTTTTCTTAACTGTCAAAGCATTTCTTTAGGTGAAAATATGTATAAACAAAATACTATGACTAATTTCTTCTTCCGTTTTAGTTTTCACTCATTGCTGTGTCTCTCTAGAGCTTCGCAGTGCTGGGGATCAAACCCAGGGCCTCGAATGTGCTAAGCAGATGCTCTACCACTGAGCTACATCCCCAGCTCTTGGATTTTGAGTCAGAATCTTGCTGTGTAGCTCAGGCTGCCTGGAACTCACAATCTTCCCTCTTCCTCTTGCGTGCTAGCATTACAGGCATGTGCCACCACACCGGGCACTCCAAGGCCTTTTAATATAAATATGAATATTCCTACTAGTGCACATTTTGTGTCTGTGACTTGTTGTTTTAGGGTCATGCTCTGTGGTTATACATCTTCTTACGCATAATTGCTCATGGCTGCGTTGTGTGGCACCATGTGTTCCTAATTTACTCCGGTTTTGAACAGTTGCAAACTATTCTGCAGGGAATGAATGTCCTGTTAGACATACTTTCCCATAGTTTTCATCTTTCTCAAATAGGCAGGTCCTTATGTATCTACATTCTTGCTATGTGTCACCAAGGGTTTTCAGTTTTGTTTTCTTCAACCACAGAGGCTGGAGAAATGGCTGCATGGTCAAGATAAATTACTGCTCTTTCAGAGAGCCTGAGTTCAGTTCCCAGCAACAGAAGAAGCCGGAGAGATGTCTCAGTGCCAAAGAGCACTTGCCCTTGCCGAGAACCAGGGGTCAGTTTCCAACACCAACATGGCGGCTCACAGCCATCTGTACCCTCTTCCGGCCCCTGCAACCACATGAACGTGGAGCTCATGAAGGCACACATACACACATATAAAAATAAATAAATAGTGCCACCATACTACCTCCAGCATATGAAAGGAAGAGATACTGCACATGTCCAGTTATATATAGTTGCTGCCTGAAATGTTTGTTGCTCATTTAAAAAAAAAATGTTACGGGAGAGAAAATGAGATTCATGGCCTTCAGAAGATCTGTCTAATGTCTGCTTCCCTCTGTTCAGGAATTGGCATGGGCATGACAGTCCCGATTTCTTTTGCTGTGTTTCCCAATGAAGACGGCTCCCTACAGAAGAAACTGAAAGTCTGGTTCCGGATTCCAAACCAGTTTCAAAGCAGCCCCCCGGTTCCCGGCGATGAGAGTGTGAAGATTGAGGAGCGGGCGGCCATCACCGTCTACTCCACGTAAGAAGGCGGTGCTTGGCATCCATTGACAGCATTTCGTGGGCCTAGCGACTCCTTGCATCTTCTCAGGGTGCATTTATACTGGCTTTTCACTGTGGCTTAATTAATTTCAATGAAGAAACACTGAATTGTGACAGTAGCTCACTTTCATTTCTTTAGGCTGTAGCACACTTGCATTTGTGGTTTATCTGGATAAATTGGCCTGTGGCAGTAATGATAGGTAGAAAGTGTCACCCTTGGCCTAAGCTTAAGATGAACACCTGCATTTGCCATAGAAGTGTCTTAGAAAAAATTTGAGGGATACATACGTGTGTGTGTGTGTGTGTGTGTGTGTGTGTGTGTGTGTGTATATACATATATATATATATATATATATGTATATATATGTATATATGTCAATAATAGTTTGGGGTCATGGAGACGTGGGAATATAATGGCTGGGAAATACATGACTTACAACTCATGCTTCGCTTGATATAGAAGGGTAGGCAGTGTTTGTTGGAGCTGAACAGCCAGCCCCCTGCTTGTTTTGGCCCAGATCCTTTAAGCAAAGGACACGCCCGCCCTCCTGTCCTCTGGTTCTGTTTTAGGACCCCTTCCCTGTTACATTTCTGCACTTTAGAAAGCAGTAGGAGCAAACTGGCACCTGTTTCTGTTTGCTTTACTTTGTCTTGTTTTCTTGGTGCCGGGAACTGGACCCAGAACCCCGTGCATGCTCGCTTGTATTCTCCCACCAAGCTACTCACACCCTAGACTGGCACACATTTTTTTACCCTCCGGTCCCTAGTCTGCCCTTAGGAAGCCAAGTCTCTTCTGGATAATTGCTGACTCCCTGTTTGTCAAAATTCCACTGTGTGCTGGGCACCTAACCAGGTTCAAAAGAAGACCAGCGTCTTCGCCAGCAGTAGGTTAAGGCTTGGGTTCTGCTCAAGCCCAACTTCATGAAAATTAACCGTACAAATGATCTTGCAATGTACAGAGTTTCTGTCCGCTGAAACCCCCCCACCCCACCCAAAAGTGGCTCTTGTAGGCTTCCCTGTTGCAGTTCCGATTCCTCCTCTGAGGGTGGGACTCCTGCCTTCGAAAGCTAGTGTGGGTGCGCCTGCCTGCTGGCTGTGGGCAGTCTTTGGCCTGGTGAACAGAGCCGCCCAGAGGACAGAGAGTGTAATGCAGCTGTGCTACTGACAATGGAACCCCAAGTCCTAATCTAGCCTTCATTCAGACTTCCCAGCCTCACGCAGAGGCTTCTGAGAACTCGAAGTAGGTAGGAACTGAGGTACCCGGGATGCAATATTTAAGGAGGCACTTACTCCTACAGTCCCCCCGGTGCAGGGTGAGCACTGAGCGTAAGAGCCTCCTTAAATCTTGCACCCTGGGTGTCTGCTGGTTTCGCTGGCATTCCCGGGTCTGTCTTGCTCCTTCTTCTTCCTGGGCTTTGAGAGGTGGCCAGGCGCACAATAAAAGTGCCTTTATGTAGTACGACTCTCGGCTCTGCCGCAAAATGGCAAGATAATGCCTTAGAAGTTATTCGGCCTCTTGAAGACTTAGTTTCCTCAGCGGTTAAGCTGGTATAGCCAACATCCTGTGGTTATTGTGAAAGGCTACCTATCATCACTTTCTAAAGTGCTGTTTACAAGTTTCCCAATGCTTGTGACCTATTATTCTTTATCCAGTGATTATCTGAATCAGCGCCCTCCTCACCCCAGCCCCAGGGGGTGTCGTTTATCCTTTGGCCCCTCAGAAGCCAAGTCTCTTCTAAGTGATTGGTGACTCCCAGTTTGTTAAAATCCCCCTGTGTGGCAGGTGCCTAGCCATGACGGATGTACGGGGGTGGGGGGCAGGGAACGGACACCTTCAGCAGCGGTAACCACAGTTGCAGGGGCAGCTGATCTCAGCATGATGAGTGGGTACCGTATCAGTCACTTTCCTGTTGCCATGACGAGACAGCATGACCAGAAGTGACTTAGGTAGAAAAGAGCTTGTCTTACGGTTCCAGAGGGAGAGTCCGTAATGGCGGATGCTGCATGGCAGCAGGAGGCTGGAGCAGGAAGCTGAGAGATCACAACTGCGAAGGGAAACACAAAACAGAGAGAGAGAAGCAGATGTGGCAAGACCATAAACTCTTAGAGCCCACCTCCAGTGACACCCTTCCTCCAGCAAAGCTCCGTGACTTCCCCCAAACAGCACCACCAGCTGAGGACCAAGGCTTTGACTACCTGAGCCTGTCGGGGGCATTTTTCACCCAAACCACCACAGTACAATTCCTTTGTCTCTAAATATCTTAAATATCTTGTGGGTACTTCCATTGTAAGCTGTATCACTAAGCAGCACTGTGAAAGGTTGAGAGCAAAAGCGAGTGAAAGCATTTGCACCCATCACTCACCATGGATGGTCAAACCAGGGACAGCTCTCTGCAATATGTTGACAGGGAAACACCCTGAACTCTTTTGAGTAATTCCACGCCATTCCTGGCCCCACCTCCCCACGTGTGAGCATAGCCAGCAGGGCAGTGAGCACATGAGAAACAGACTTCTTACGATGCAGGCTTCAGGGAGACAGCTTCTTTAATTGCTGGGGCAGGGGGTGACAAAGGCTACTTCAACTCTTGGGGAGTGGGTAGAGGCTTTCAGGATGGTGGGGGAGAGCTTGTTGCTGGGGTGCCTTATTTGCATGAAGAGGAATTCCAGGTGCTTGCTAGACATGACCTTATAAGGAGAAAGGAAGTTTAACCTGTAACCTGGCCACCAGGCTATGTGACAACCTCAAGGGTCAAGGGTGGCAGAAACCTTAAGGGTCAATAGTGCCAGAGTTGAGCGCCATAAGACTACCTGTGCCAGGACATGCAGGCCCAGAACAGGGCACAAATGGTCCTATTCCTGCCAGTCTCAAGACGAGACTTTTCAGGGTTTGGGCACTCCTTGACATCATGGCTCCCCAGCCCCACAATTCAAGGCATTATGGATTTTATCCAGAAATATTTTAATGGAACTATGGGATATTTTTTAAATATCGTAATACCATACTACTTCTAAATGTTAACAGTGATTTGTTAAATTCTAATAATATAAACTATCTGGTTGATTGATTGAATGATTGATTGAATGATTGATTGATTGATTTTGGTGCTTGAGGCAGGGTCCTGTAAGGTATTCCAAGCTGACCTTGAATCCTCAACCTCCAGCCACATACCCTAGTGCTGGGATTACAGGCATAGAGGACCATGGATGACTCTCCCATTTACAGTTCATTTTTAAGGTTTATTCTTTGCAATTAGTCAGTTGGGGTGTGTGTGTGTGTGTGTGTGTGTGTGTGTGTGTGTGTGTGTGTGTG